TCTCTCTCTCTCTCTCTCTCTCTGTGTGTGTGTGTGTGTGTGTGTAAAACTTCTGAGCCATAAAGGAATGAGCTGTAGACATGATACTCCATTATCATTAAATGCTTCAGAGTAACTTTCCTAAAGATAAAAGTACTCTACCCAGGCCTGGCTCAATGGTTAAAAGCACTGCCAAAAGTCCTGAGTTCAATTCCCAGTGACCACATGGTGGCTCACAACCATCTGTAATGGGATCTGGTGCCCTCTTCTGGCCTCCATGCATACATGCGGGCAGAACACTATACATAGTAAATAAATATTAAAAATTCCACCCATTCACTCCCATGTTACAGCTATCAATATGACCATTAATTTTGGGGGCCTGATCCAATTTTGCCTATCTGAGTATCCATGTTCTTTCTGGCCTGATGGCATAATGGTTACCTATTGGTGACTCTAGTTCTGTAATTCCTCAGTTTGTTAGCTGGTATTCTGCTATGAAAAAGAATTTCCCCACCCACAATTTATGTGCATCAGTGTGGACTCACTGGATCTGTTTTACTTGGTGTGTTTTCATCCATCACTATTACTTTGGGTGTTGATTTGGACAGTGCAAACACTCTAAGCATGTTTCTGTTTTCCTTGAAAAAAGATTTATTTACATTTATATGTGTATATATATACACCAAATGTGTGGATGCCTGCAGAGGCCAAAGGAAAACATTGGATCCCCTGGAGCTGGAGGTACGGATGGTTGTGAGCTGCCCAATGTAGGTACTGGCAACAAAACTTGGGTCCTTTGGAAGAACAACAAGTACTCTTAAGCAGTCAGCCATCTCTCCAGCCCCTCCTGTGTCCTTTTGCCATACGCTGGTTTTGAGTGTTGTTTTTAACTATTGGTTACAAGATATCCCAGATTCATACTTTCCTCATCCTGGCCCCTGGGGTCAGCCATTTCGGCAAGGAGCCCTGATTCATTTTGAGAATGACATTAAAAACTAGGTAAGGGTACTAGGTATCATTGTTGCCACCAGGGAATAATTTTTCAAAGGCCTCAGAACACATGGCATGTACACCACATAAACAGACATGTACAGACACGTAAATCTCTATTCAAAATCATGAGTTCTGTTGTGGCACATACTTAGAATACCAGCACTAAGAGACTAAACCAGGAGGATTTTGAATTCCAGGCCAGCCTAGGCTATTTAGACCTTGTCTCAATAAAAGAAAAAATATCGTGAGTTCATACTAATACTTCTGCTTCCAATTCACCATCACAAGAGTCATTCCAGGATCCTCACTAAACACTTATAACTCCATTTTCTGGCAGTCACACACCTGATTCTTTTATTCCCCTAAATGATTCACTCCTTTCTACTATCTGGAAGCAGTTTCCTGCCTTGCCAGCCAGCCATCACCTGGACTTCTTCAGGAAGAATGCTCTCCTAGCACTAACAGTTTGTGGCTCCCTTCCTTGTTGTCCCTACAGAAGAAAGAAAAGGGAAGAGGCTCTGAAACAAGCCATTTTAAATTCCGGTGAACAAGCCACACACCTTCAAGTTCCTTCTAATTTATGCCTGGCTGTTTACAGCTCCAATGTTCTTTCTGTTGTTTGTTGCTTTCTTTAGAGAGAATTTTTCTGGCCATGAAGCCAAAGCTGTGCTAGAATTGAGATCCTCCTGTCTCATTCCCCCAAGTGATGGGATTGCAGATTTGTGCCACCAGGCCGAAATACAAACCTTATCTAATTTTTTTTAAAGGCAAAGGGACTGTGTAGGTGTATTGGAGCTTAAGAAGCAACGACTGTGGTTCCAGAAGGTTTCTCAGAAGGTGTACTGAGGGCTGATCTGTATCTTCAGTCTAATGCTCCCCCAACGAATGTATCTCAGTGGCTTGAACAAACTTGGGATAGAAAAAGGAATCGGGTAGATGGACTTAGACACAGGCTGAACAAAGCTCCATTACAAAAAAAAATATAATAATGCTATAATACTGAAAATGAGCCTGGAGAGGGACTGGCTTAGGATCTGGGAGTCTAGCTTGCTTTCTAGGTGGAAGGTATGTGTGCCGACCTCAGCAGGGAGGTCATGAGGAGCAGGCGGGCTGAAAAATCCTGACAATCATCAACGTTTAGGTATCTGGTTAAAGAAAAGAGAGGGTGGCGGGGGAAGTAGGAGAAAAACATGCAGCCAACTGCTTCTGTGAAGCAAAGGAGGGAGTGATTAACAAGGGCAATTAACATTTGGACACTGATAATTTCCCATTGTATCTGATAATTTGGACATCCCTGGGACATTTCTGCCGGTGGGCTTTCAGTCAGAGTTTAAATAGATGAGCCCGGGAAATGGAGACTGTGTGATAGCCTGTGTAGGGAGTCTTCTAATCCCACCCCTCTCGCCTTTCTCGATGTGTGATTGATTACAATTTATTTCTCCTCTTCGCCTGTATCTCAAGCAGTTAGCGCTTTATCTGAAAAAGAATAGTCACTCAATAAAATTGTGCTGGCTAATAATCCCACACTCTAACCTATAGAGGGAGCTGAAAGAATGTCACTCTCACTTATGGGCGGAGCTAAAAGAAAATCACAGGGGAATGTTAACCTATAGGAGAAGCTGAAACAAAATCTCCTGGAAAGTATTTCCCAGACATTATAAGCCCTAGGAGGAGCATCGGTGGCCCGCCTTCCAGACATCTCTGAGGAGACCTTGCACGAGGAGTCTTTGTCAAGGAGTTCCATCTTAGGTAATATTTATTAATATTCTCTTTTTCTCTCTGGTATTTGATAGTGATTTTTCATTTATGT